CATCTGTTGCCACTCTTATGAAAATTTGCACGAGGAGAAAATTTGCACTCTTATGAAAATTTGCACGTCAGAAAATAAATAAATAAATGAAAGGTTATTCTTCAATCTTTTATTGTGCTGGAAAGAAGGACTTCAGCATGCATTGTAGTGATGTGGAAAGACAAGTGCCATAATCCTGGGTGCTGCCCTCCTCCTTCTCCTCACCCAGAGATTTTACTGCTGGGCATGATGCATGCGCTATGCAAACACAAGAGGTTGGTTCTGTACAGCTACCCTAGCTGCGTCACCTGCCAGCTTCGTATGCATCCTCTCTGGGGGCACAGCATGAGAAACAGAGGAAGCCCTGATGTTGTCTAAGCGCTGTTCAGCCAGCAACAGCTAAATTGTGACTATTTTGGTTACAATTCTCAAACATAACACCATATGTGTCGCTATGAAGGAAATTCTGTTCCAGCCTGACCCAGCACAGATGACAAAGCTAATAACAGAAATCAATTGTGCTTTTTTCTGTCTCCTTACCCCATTCTTCCTGGGCTCAGGGAGCCCTTTTACTGATGTTGAGAAAACAAAGTTATCTGATTGAATTCAAGAACCAGACCAGAGCAAAAGATTTGGAAAGATAAAAATGAATGAGGAAGAGAAATGTTCATAGTGGAAGTTTTGAGGAAGTAGAGGAAAAATCTGAATTTAGGTCAGTAAAGCAACACGTCAAAAAAAAGATTTATTGTGGAAAGTACATGATGTTGAAGTACCCCAGAACTTTTAATTTTTTTTATTACTGTAGACGTGATCAGATACACTAGTTCAGCAAGGTGTTTCTGAACTTCTCTGCCTTCTCTGGGGAGAGCAGGCAGAACAGAACACAGCATGTATATTTTCTCAAAGTATACATAGTATACATAGATGATACTACTATGCTATCTGCAACATTTTGGATGGGTATTTCTACTATGCAAAGCTGTTATTTTCCCACATACCAAATATTTGGAGAAGCCACTGGAAAAGTATGTTTCATAATTGGCTATAGATCTAAATAATAGACTAGCTAACAACATACTGCTTCTACTGAGGTTTTTTTTTTTCTTGCATGTCATTGCTTATTGTGGTCAGTCTAAATGTTCAGCTTATCTGAGCAATTAAGAGTTTGTCACTCCCTAGGATGAAAACGTGCTATGTTTTTCAGAAATAATATTAAATATTACTTTCTAAAATTGTCATGAAAAACACTGAGGTAGAAAGCCAAGAAGCAAAAAATTAGGCAGTCTCAGAATTACCTATATCAGCCTTATTGGTGTCCTTATGCACCATATCCTTATACACTATGAAATTCTACAAGATAGAATCACAGAACAGTGTAATCACCAAGGTTGGAAAAGACCTCTAAGATCATTCAATCCAACTGTCTGCCGGTCACCAATGTCTCCCACTAAACCATGTCCTTCAGTACAACATCTAAATGTTTCTTAAGCACCTTCAGGGTTAGTGACTCCACCACCATGCTGGGCAGCCCATTTCAATGCCTGACCACTCTCTTGAAGAAGTATTCCCTAATGTCCAACCTATTTCCCCCTGTGGTGCAACTTGAGGACATTTCCTCTAGTCCTATTGCTAGTTACATTGGAGAAGAGGCTGACTCCCACCCCCCACAACCTCCCTTCAGGTAGATATAGAGAGTGATAGGGGTCGCCCTTGATCCTCCTACACACTGAACAATCCCAGCTGCCTCAGCCACTCCCCATTAGACTTGTGCTCCAGGCCCCTCACAACTTCACTGCCCTTCTTTGGACGCACTCCATGGCCTCCATGTCTTTCTTGTAGTACAGGGCCCAAAACTGAACATAGTAGTTGAGGTGAGGCCTCACCAGGGCTGAGTACAGAACGATCACATATTCTCTTAAGCTGATTTCTGATTTGCTTCCCTTGTAGGTGAATGCTGCTTGTAGGCGTCAATATGAAAAGTGTAGCAATGGCAACTATGGTCTTCCCATTTTTTTCCCGGTACTTGAAAGAGGTTAAAGAAAAACTGTGGAAGACTTACAGTGAAATGGTGGTCTGAATATTAAGCTAGTAAACTCTCACCTTAGACAAAATTTGCTTCTATTCTTGGTTATACCAACAAAGAACTATGTAACACCGAATACATTGCTTAAGCAAAGTTTTTGTCCGGTTACTGTTTTTATTATTTTCTGAATAGTGATCACATCACTGTGATGTGAAGAGCAAGCTGATGTGAAATGTTCCGAAACTGGTATTTCCCAAATTGTTCAAAGCAAATGAGAGGTTGTTTTTCAACTCACTGTTTCGCTCATTCTTGACTACAGACACTGGTGTAAATTCAGGCCTGTGAAGTTCTTAGTTGTTGTGATGATAGGCAACTAAATAAAAGCAGTGAGGAAAAGTAAGAGTGTGTGCAGGGCAGCATTGGTTGGGTAATAACCCTGCTGAAAAGGACTTGAGGGCTTCAATTGATGGCAGGGTGGATATCGGCCAATCGTCATAAATAACGCAGACTACATGCTAGTTTGACTGTAGCGAGTAGATCAAGGGAAATGCTAGGAGCCCAGACAAGGGCTACAGGGATGGTGAGAGCCTGAAGCTCACAATCAGTGAGCAGTGCATGAGGGAGCTGAGTTGTTCAGTCTGCTGTGAAGGAGAAGAAAGGCCATCTAACAGCAGCCTACAGCTACTTGAAGAGTAGCTGCAAAAGACAACAAATTTGAGCTCCACTGTGGCATACTATACAAGGATCAAGGGCCCCTGTTCAGAAGGTTCAGGTAGAACATCAGGAGAATCTTCCCTACTAGAAATGTGGTAGAGAACTGGAGAAGATTCTCCAGTGGAGTGAATCAGAATCTTTACAACTGTATTCACAAATAAGACAAAATCACTAATGCATATTTTTCTTTTGTTTACCAAGTAAAATGAGTTTGATCAGTAGTATTTCCTAATTTAGATGTCTGTGTATTTGTATCTTAATAAGTGATGTATTTTTCCGTAAAGTGATTTAATTTCCCATTACTACTAGTTGAAATATATGTTAGGTAACTATTTGATTTCTTAAAATCTTGGTTTTAATATTTAGTTTGAAATTTGTCCCTTGTCCTGACAGTTTCCTTTATGCCATACATCATTACCTCTAGTTTTTGCATGATTCAAAGATTTTCAGTGAGTCCACTTTCTTGTTTCAGCAGTTGATTCTGCAGTTCAAAGATTTTAATGGTTTTCAAAGCAGCCTCAAAATCAACAGTTTGTTAGTGATGAAGTGGATCAAATAGCCTCCTGCAATAGACTAATTTTAGCTCTGATATTAGCATTTTTGTTTCTTGCAGAGCTATAATTAATTTCATTATTATTTTTTAATTCATTCAACTGTCTTGAATATCCACTGTGCACACACTGAAAATACAAGCCTGAAGTTAAACTTTTCCCTGGATGACTATAACACATTAATTCTTGTAGGCTTTTTTACAGTGATTAATTTTTCAGTGGATTTGCTTCAGTGTACATTTGATAATGCGTACAATTTTATAATCTTTGTTTTCTTAAACTACATTACAACTAGATTAAGAAAAACAGCTAAATTATAAATTTAGATTTTATGATTAAAAATTTAATCAGAAATAGTTTGCTCATAGCAACTGCTCAAGCTCTGAGTATAAATAGAGGTTATTAATATTACTCATCATGAAAGGGGGCTCATTAACATATTTCCCTATGTGCACAGAGTAGATATGTTGCCCTGCAAACTTTCCTTGAAGGTATGAATCAGTCCTCACGAGACAGCTGAAACTGAAGGCCACGTCTGTGCTACAAGTGGATGTGTGATTTCATTGTGAGCAATCTGTCATAGTACACCATATCAACTATGCCATACGTTTGAATGTTAGTTGGCAGAGGCAAATTCTCTGTGTACCAGTGTACTAGGACTTAGACATACCTGACCTAGATGGAATAGCATGTTGTTGTAATTCTATAGCTCATTCTTAATATAGATGCTATAGAAAATCTTTAGATTTACTTATAAGTTGAGTTTAGTCACAGGAATATCATCAAAGCTGTAGTTGCAGACAGTAGTATCTGTGCTGCGAAATTTATCAAGAGGTGGTGAGAAACTGAGTAAGATATGGAGAGAAAAATAAATTTCCTCTTATTATTACAACAGGCTTTTGAAGATATTAGTGCTCTCAGAAAAATAATTATTTGCAAATTTTCTTTTGAAATTGTGAGGTTTGTTTAAAATTCTGAAAATGTTATGATGAAATTTCCTCCCTTTTAAGTAAACTGAAGACTTCTTGATGCTACATTAAGCATCATTATTCCATGACCCAGAAAATACTACCAATATTTTATATTATTATATTGAAAAGAATGGTTACTTATGTTTAACCTTACCATTTTGTAATACCCACACCTTCAGAAGATCCACTTATTCATTATTTCCAAGCACTACACTGGTTGTTTTAACTACTGATCACTTCATATTAACATGATACTATTGTGTGTCATGAAGAAAGGTGGGAGTTGGAAAATCTGCAGTAATCTGTTAAATACAGTTTAATAAGAAATTTAAGGTGAGTTTTCTCTTGTTTTCAGTCTAGAGGTGTATAGCTGCATTCTCTAACTACTTTTATTTTATTATTGCTATTTGGATTCTCACTTCTTCCAAAAGATAAACATTTTTCAGGGAAGCAAAAACACATTGCAGGATAGAAGTTCATCTAAAGTAGACATTTGTTCCCAATGCATATTTTAGGTAGTGGTGTTTTTATCTTCTCATAGAATAGCTTTCTCATTGCTTTTAAAGCAGCAGATTACTTCAACTCTATAAACTTTTTACTGCATTTTTTCACTTTTTGCATTTCCTGAATAATGGCAGTAATGTATAGCCAGTATTTATAACAAATTTATGGAAAGGGATTATAGGGGTAGTTAAATTGATGTTATAGTGTTCTCATATGTGATATTGGGTTGGTTTTTTTTGTTTTTCTCCCTGATTGTAGATTTCAGAAGAAGTACTCCATCACTGTAGTGAGGAGGAAGAGTCTTTCCAAGCAATGGAGCCCTATCTCGTGCGGAGATTATCATCCCGTAACATCCAGCTTCCCCCTTTGGCTTTCAGGCAGCTAGAACAAGCTGATTGGGATAAAAAGAATGATACTGAGACCATGCCACGGCCCACAACTCTTCCACTGAGGATTCCTCCTGTGATTGCCATTACATCAGCAGAGTCCAGCAGGTGAGATCCAGCAAGTTCTTTCTGATTTGTAATTTTCTGTGATAGCTACAGGACAGCAGATCCTCCTTCTAGGACAGAAGTTTATTTATTTTCTAAATCCCCTTAATAAATATATGGAAGTCATTTTGTAGAGTTTAGCAGAGTTGGTGAAAAATGAGAGTAAAATGTTCATATATGAATTTGTGGATGAAAATTAATAACTCAGTTTGTAAACCTTTTGGTCATGTCCAAATGCAAGTAATGGGAAATATTTTATCTGAACTTGATTAATAACTTCAAAGTAAAAAAAAAATAAATCTCAATTACAGAGGCCTGAATGACCCCGTTGGAGTATTATAACAGAGGCAGAAGATTTTCTGTACTCAGAAAATATTTTGCACAGTTCCAAAATCACTTGCAAGGAACCATGAGTAGATTGTGCCTCCATCTCAATGTTTAGGATATTTATAATATCAATTGTTCTGCATATTTGTTTGTAACTACTGTTATGGCTTCTTCATATTACATTCATGAGTTTTTACATCAAGCATGTTTTCTAATGTAACCTTTTCTGTTCTTCATTCCTTTTCATACTGTTTTATTGCGTTGTTTTCCAAAATGAGAGTTGTCTGGAATGCAGTACTATGCTCTTAATTGTGAAGGCAATGCAGCCACTTGGTAACATAAGGAAGCATGAAGAAAAGGAAAGATGGACATACGGAGAACTGAAATGCAGAATTTAGGAACCTACAGCTGTGTAAAGTATGTAAGATTTGTACTATGTGAGCAAAAGCTGTAAACATTCATTAGGATGCTATGGCAAAAAGAAAAAAAATCTATATACGTAACATTGCCTCCCTAGATCTCATTCCCACGTGTATTAATTTCTGGAACACGCGAGACTACATCTGAAAGCATGCTTGGTGAAACATTCACTACATCTTTGAGAAATGCAATGCCATTTGGCAAGGGTTTAAAAATAGATTGGTGTCTTGATTTTTTTGTCAATTTTTTTTTCTGTCCATAGAGGCTGGAAACAAGATTGGGCTGAAATCTTAAAGGAAAATAAGTGAAGGGACAATTATGACAGTTCACATTGCTGGCCTTTCTGAATTTCAGGAAATTCAGCTTTGAAAATTAAATTGTATTTGGGACACGTGTAAACCATGTAATGTCCAAGAGGTACTTCGTGTTTTGGAGAGAATATAATCAAAATACTGACCAAAAAAAACCCCAGACTATATGATAGATAAGTCAGGTAGCAGAGTGAAAAGTAAATAATTCTGTCCTATGAAAAAGTCTAAGTGATTTTTGACTTTTGGAGATCACTGTTGTTTTCCAAGCTGCATTCAAATATGCAACAACAAGACAGTTTCGTGGGTATTCATATAAATAATAAACCCCAAACGGTCTGCTTATTAGGAATAGCTATCTGCTATACTCAGAGATTGATGTTCTCGGAAAGGCTTCTCTGCATCTAAGGATCTGTTGCGGGCATTAGAGACGTTATATATAACTTTGTATTCTGCCTAAGGCTTTCATTTCTATGGTTGATAGAATTTGTTTTGAAACTGGACGAAGATTTATCTATAGAAAACTTTATTTCAGGGAGTAACTGAGAAACAGCAGATCTACAGATTGTTAAATGAAGCTGCAAGGCTGTTTAAACAAACAAACAAAGCAAAACTGAACGCAACAACAAAAGCAATTATAATTTTGATGCTTCTTGGTAATATAAAATCGGTAGCTCTTATGATTCTTTCTTAGCTAAAGAGCAATTATGTTGCTACAGGAAGAATATTATTCAGGAAATTGAATTTCTCTAGATGTTTAATGCCATTTTTCAATGGTTAGCTCTCTCAAGCAGCTATGCGTTTCTCATTTACGTGATCGTAATGCAAACCCAACAGCAGGAAAAATCCATCCTCTTATCAAGGCTTTTTGTCTGCATGAATGTATACAAATCTATTCTCTATTTTCGATGGGTTGGAGGAGGTGGAAGAGCAGTTGAGTCATTGAGCTGATTTTAAGAAGGATGTAATCACTAAAGACAACCTAAATTACAAATATATATTTTTGGAGGAAGACACTAAAAAAATCCCATAGATGGCACTACAAATTGTCTTGTACTTCAATTTAAGTACCTGGAATGCACGGAACTCAAAACAGTCACAGTAGATTTGGTTTTAAGAACACAATGTGTATTCTGTTCCTGCACACACATACACACGTTCCAACTCTTTTTAATTTCTTTCTATTTTCATGAAGCCTCAAGATTGTTTCTGTTTTTTCATTAGCTTTATATAGGGATGAATTACACAGATTTAGCTGAGGCTGCTCAGTTAAGAAACAAAGGAGAATAAATGAAAAACTAGATAGGAAATATTCAGAAATATTTTTCTAATCTTTCACTCTTGTAAGAGCTTACTTTAATGAGACGCTTCACACTAGTCATCCCTGTCACCCTTCTATTTTTTTCCTATGCTTAGGTTGCTGTTGGGCTTCATTCTGATTTTTTCATCCAGGTTTAACTGACAGGATAACAAAGATCATCATTAAGATGAAGGTTTCATGTCTTGTACTGAAGTTTCACATATAATATTACCAATAGGAGCAAAAAACCAACTGCTTATAAATTGATAAGTCTGCTGGCTGGTAGCAACAGTTAAATTTGTGAAATATGACAGTTGCCAGACCTTGCGCTGAGAAGTTTAAAAAACCAGGCTGGCAATTGCTCTTGATATTTCAGTTCTTTTTTTTTTTTTTTTTTTTTTTTTTTTAAAGTAGCATAGCTTATATACATAACTTTATATGTGATATCCTGTTGCAAAGTAGAATAGCAGTACTTTGCTTGTACATGTGATTACAAACTTTAAATTTTTCCAGTTTTCCTCAGATAACCACAATTAATTTTTACCACTATTTTTCATAAAGGTAACAGATACTATGTTGTTTAAGAATGAATGCACATATAAGAAGAGATTGACAGTGGAAGATTTTTGGTCTTGCCAAGGCCGATAATATTAAAATGGTGGAGGACTGTTACCTGAAACTCATACATTTGAGAAAATTTAAATAATTTGGTTGTACCTCCTTTATAATAAACATTTCAAAGAGTTTGCTTTCCTCTATATTTGTTTTGCCCAGTAGTCACAACTCCTGATTTGATTCAGTTGCTTGAGTAAATGTGATATGATAAATTTTATTTATTTTTTCAGATACTTAGATGTGATTTGGAAGGCCAATTGGTTCAATCAGTATTTAATAATGGTACTGGTTTGGTACTGAGGGACTTTTATTGTATCCTCTGAAGTGAATTAAACACAATTTTGCTCAAGTATAAATACAGAGAGTGGTCTGCAAGTTGCAGCATGAACTGATTCCTTACATGCACTTACCCTAGCATCAGTCATGTGGGCATAGGAATCATGTGGTTTTGGATTCATCCCCCAGAGCCTAGAAGCCTCTGGGCACTCAGACTACACTGCAACAGGACAATGCTATGGTATTTCTTGTCAAGAAACTTCACTCTCTTGTGGAATCTGCCTTTCACTCTTGATTCCAGGCAGTCTGCCACTTTTGATTCTTGCTCTACATGACAGAGCATTCTTTGGTCATGAATCCCTATTGCTGACCAGTTACAATGTGAATTTTGTCATCACCATTTGCCAAGCTTCATGAAATTTAATGACAGATTCTTCAGTCATCTTTCTGATGGAAACTCTGTATTATGTAATTCAAAAGAAGAGATGGATAGAAAAAGATAGGATGGAATAGAGATACTCCTACCTGAATCTGCTCCTGTTAGACTCTGAAATGCAACGGCACACACACATATCCCACTGGGAACAGTGCCTTTGAACCACAAATTACTGCTGAAGTAATGATGTTTTTTAAAGTTTTACTTTAAAGTCAATGTTGTAATTCTTCTGTCCTCTTAAGACATACAACTATCATAGTATGATGGGAAATGTCAAGCAATATGACATCAGTTGAATTTAAACTCAAGAGATAAAAGATTATACAATGAACTTTAAAACTTCACTTATGGCTATCTGAACACCAGAAGTTATTTTGGAGAAAAGAAGTGGTTAGGAAGACTTCAGCAAGGCGAGCATTAGCCTCTTTTCTCAGGTTACAAGGGATAGGATGTAACTAATTGGCCTCAGGTTGCTTCAAGAGAAGTCTAGATTCTATATCAGGAAGGGAAAGGCTGGTTAGGCATTGCAACAGGCTGCATAGTTAAGTGGTAGAGTTGCCATCTCTGGTGACATTGGAGACCTGTGGCTGTCATGCTTAGTGACACAGTTAGTGGTGGACTTGGTAGTGTTAGCTGGATGGTCACACTTGATGATCTTAAGTATCTTTTCCATCCTACATGCTTCTATGTTTCTGTGATTTCCCTGTTCTTTGCTAAAGCACAATTTATGAGATTACTATTACTACACAACATCAGTTTTGTTTTAAATTGCTTTCTTATTGCTTATATACACCTGAAAGTATATTAGTATACCTATGGAACTCTTGGGAGCTACAAGAATGACTTACACAATGGTTAATTTCTGAAGTTTTTTTTTTTTTTGCAGCGCTCTTTCTCTTCTAGTATATTAATTGTTCATTGTAGGGACAGATCCACGGATTAGACAGACACTGCAATGCTTAAAATCTGTTTTCTAATCCATGAAAGAAGAAATTAAAGTTCTCTACATTTAAAGATCAGAACAAAATGTGATATAAAACTATGGATTTTTTCTTCCTGTCCTCTAGAGATGCACTTGTAATTTTTTTTGTAATTATTGCAGACTTTGAATCAAAAATTAAACTATTAATATCTAGTTTTGAGAAGAAATGCTACAAAAAATGTTATTAGCATCATCAATGTAAGTTTGATACTGTAGCCATGCAGACTAATGGTTCTAATTTCAAACAAAATGTGTCTTGAAGCCTTTCATTTGCTTGCATTGTCTTTACCCCATTAAAGCAATAACTCAAAGATTACATTTTGTCTTCTGTATTTTATT